AAATTAACGGCATGACCATTTGTCCTAACGAAATTGAAGTTGAAGGACCACGGGAACCATTTTAAAAATTGAGGTACTCAAATGCAAATTGGGTCTAAGTTTAGGGACTAATAAAATGATTAACCATTTAATTTAAGTTAAAAACCTTTTTGTTATATTATAAATGGGCTTCGGGTGTGTTTCTAAAATCCATTTCATATATGATTTTTTTTATGATTTGAGCTCCTATATTGAATATAATAGTGAATCTTCAAATATGAAATTCAAATGTAAGACTCCCGTCAATCAACGAACTGCCATTGATTTATTAAAACAAACACAACCCAAAAACTCATTAAAAAAAAACCCAAAACACTTAATAGGGTATCAAAATAATTTAATAATCAAAATTAAATTCAATAGGGTCAGCTGTCTTTTTTTGGATTTTTTTTTAGTTTGTTTATAAAAATTAAATTGTGTAGAGTTTATTTATAGTTTTAGTGCTAAGAATGGGTATATAACTAATTATCTCTTTCATATTCCTATTGTTAAGTACTTTATTGCTTTTTTGTCCTATGTATTCTCATTTCATCCAAAGAAAAGAAGAAAAGAAACACATTGACAAATGAAATGCATAAATTAGTTGTATCTACTCTGATTAAGTCATATGTAATTTAGTTGTTTAGTTTACAAAATTATAAAGAAACACAAATTAAATTCATGCACACCGAATTTGTTTCTTCAATTTTTGTTTCACATGTCAATTACGATTCCAACTGGTCAAAAGATACATTATAAACTTTTAACAGTATTTTGATTATTTTCAATTTTCTGATGTTAATAAAAAAAAAATAGTCATATTATAATGTCGGTTATGACGTGATAAATGCATTACTTCCTTAGCGTAGAATTTTATCTATAATAATAATATTCTGTTCTATCCTCATGAGGTGGTATCGATATATATGAGCATAGATATCACGCCTATATAATACGTGTGACAGAGCGCTAGCTATAATAACACAAATGAAATTATCGTTCAACCAAAAACCATTCATTCTCTAGCTTTCTAAGTTTCCAATTACCAATTAGTTTCAATGGATTATTCTCTCCCTTATGTAAACTCTATCACTGCTTTTTTATTTACAATAATCATCGTTTCCTATTACTTCTCACGCAGATGGAGAGCTGCCAAATTAGCCCCAACTGAAGCCAAGGGTGCATGGCCGATATTTGGCCACCTTCCCTTGCTAGGAGGATCCACACCTCCTCACATCACATTGGCAGCCATGGCGGACCAGTACGGGCCTCTCTTCACCATCCGCCTCGGCGTCCATCCATCTCTGGTGATAAGCAGCAGTGAGATCGCAAAAGAATGCTTCACAACCAATGACTTGGCCTTAAACTCGCGTCCAAAGCTCGCGGTCGTGGATCACATTGGCTATAACTACGCCATGTTTGGGTTTGCACCCTCCGGACCCTTCTGGCGAGAGATGCGCAAGATTACCACCTTGGAGCTGCTCTCGAACCGAAGGCTTGAGCTGCTCACACACATTCGAGTCTCTGAAGTGACAACTTTCTTGCAAGATTTGTACAAAACTTGGAGCACCGCGGAGAGAAGGGAGAGCAATAATAGCGACGGAGTTTTGGTGGAGTTGAAGCAGTGGTTTGAGGACATGACTTTGAATGTGATTCTTAGAATGGTGGCCGGAAAGCGTTATTCGGTTGCTGCCGATGAGGATGAGAAGAAAGAAGCACGTAGGGTTCAGAGAGCATTGAGGGAGTTTTTTTATTATGTGGGGCTGTTTGTGGTGGGTGATTCGGTGCCTTATCTTCGGTGGTTGGACTTGGGTGGGCATGAGAAGGCGATGAAGAAGACTGCGAAAGAACTGGACGCCATTGTTGGAGGGTGGGTTGAAGAGCACAAGAAAAGGAGGGCAAGAGGTGATGCTAAAGGGGAACCAGACTTCATAGACGCCATGCTTTCTGTGCTTGATGGTGCAGACCTTGGCGGTTTTGATGCTGACACGGTCAACAAAGCCACAAGCTTGGTAATCAAACATATGCCTAGCTTAATCTATATAATTTAGCTTAATATAAATAATTAATAAAATAAATTGTACTTTTGCAGAATATGATTGCAGGAGGTAGCGATACCACCATGGTCACATTGACATGGGCAATGTCACTATTATTGAACAACCCTCACGTGCTTAAAAGAGCCCAAAATGAACTGGACACTGAAATAGGCAGACAGAGAGTTGTGAGTGAGTCAGATATAAGCAAGCTGGTCTACCTCCAAGCCATAGTGAAAGAAACGCTGCGTTTGTATCCAGCAGCACCATTATCTGGACCACGTGAGTTCACCGAGGACTGCACCATAGGCGGCTACCATGTCTCGAAGGGCACCCGGTTGATCACGAACCTTTTTAAGATTCAAACAGACCCTAGAATATGGCCCGATCCATTCGAATTCAAGCCGGAGAGGTTTCTGACCACCCACAGGGGTGTTGATGTTAAGGGATTGCACTTTGAGTTAATTCCATTTGGAAGTGGGAGAAGAGCATGCCCTGGCTTGGCATTTGGCCTTCAAATGGTGCAATTTACTTTGGCTAGTTTTGTGCATGCGTTTGAAATCTCCAACCCCTCGAGTGCACCGATTGATATGACTGAGAGCTTTGGACTGACAAACGTCAAGGCGACCCCTCTTCAAGTTCTCATCAAACCTCGTTTGCCTTCTCAACTTTATGGATAAAATGATAAAACAAGGATTTTTATTTAATTAATGGATGTATTTACTCTCAACGTTGCTATCCAAATTATAGTTCATAGTTATATTTCTTTTTTTTCTTTTCAATATAATGTTGTTTGTCCCTGTATTGTTGGTCTCTTAATTATAGGAGAAATTTTTATATGTTCCAGGTACACCACGTGGATGGTGTACCATCCAATGAACATATGACATGTGGAATTATTGTCTAACTTACTGTATTTCTTTTTATGACATGTTGCGGGCTGTATTGGAAATATTCCATATGTCCTCCTTCTATTGGATGGTACACCAGCCACGTGGTGTACCCGGAACACCCAAAAATTACTCTAATTATAGCCCAAGTGCAGAGAATATTCATACTATACTCTAATCAATGTAGCACCCACGATCAGCAGCCATGTCAACCATATTCTGCTTGATTTCCCATGCAGAACTAATACTAATACAATGTAGCTGTTGTGAGTAGTAATAAGATTGAACAAAAAAAACCAGTAACGAGCCACCGCCTAAAGTTAAATACAAGTAAACAGAGTGACAAATAGAGGTATACCTTTTGCATTTCAGACACAAAATATTCGGAGAGAGAGAGAGAGAGAGAGAGAGAGAGAGAGAGAGAGAGAATTTCTTTGGTTTGCCATTATACAAGTCATCCAAAGAAACCTTTAAGATATGCACCACATCTTCACCTTACTTCTGCCTTCTTACATGTGAAGGATAGTATGCAAAATCAGAACATCCACAAGACAATAATGACAGAAAAATTAGTGTGGGCTTAATTTCGACAAAAGTTACGCAAAATAAAGAAGAAAAACAGAACCCAGACCCAAAAATCTATAATTGCATCCTCACCCTTCCCTCACTTTAAAAGAAGAACGACAATCATTAATCAAAGTACGAGATTACACTCCTCAAACAAGAGATTCTGAATCAAAGCAAAATGAGTCAGCATATTGGCTATTCTATTACAAAATGAGCCCTCACTTCTCACACTATAACCCAGCCATAGTGAAACGAAAAATCCAACCCACAAAGCCTATTATAAAACAAATCCCAGAAACCTATCAATTGAATACCAAACGTCATATCTTAACACACAATAATTTCCACATACCTACTCAAACTTTATAAATCAAAGAGAGAATTGATAGACTTATCCGAGGTCGAGGTCTTGTAAAACATCGTTAGAAAATAAAACACCTAAAAATCCACATGAAGTTTTCCAAAAGCCTTTAAAGCCATAAACATTTAAACAGCTACAAAAGCTAAACGTAATAACAAGGGATGGAGATACGGACCTCAAGAAACTCAAGAAGTGAAGAAGATATAAGGGGGATCTCTACGGCCACCGACTTGAGTCTGAAGAGCGAGATAACAAAACCTCACAGGCAGCTCTGATTATAGGAAGTCTTGCTCGATTTTGGGCAAAATAGGAGTAGACTGGGCATTTTGACCAAAATTGAGACAGAGGAGATGAAGGTGTTGGGCTGGATGATGGGGATTTGGAATCGGTGTTGGTAGGGGACGATGGAGTTCTAGCAGAGGCAAAAGAGTAGAGAGAATAATTAGAGTCGTATGATTTTCTTTGGGTAATTGACAACTTGGGAAACCCTAACGCGATAAAAATTGAAAATTTATCACATTTTCGTTTTCGTTTGGGCGCTAGAACTTGCCGCTTATACTTTGGTCTGCTGAGTTTGGCCCCTCGCTTCAATTTTTAAGCAGCCCTAGAGCGGGAGTAATTTTTCATCCCTCAAAAAAATGTCATAACAAATAAATTTTAAAATAAGAAAAATACTATGAAAAATCTCCTCAGGTTTAGATGGCATACGCATTCTACAAAACTAGTTTCAACGATCCAACCGTCAAACTTGTTTATATATACTTCAAGATCGTATACCCCAAAAATCGCAAAAAACAAACATTCAGAGACCTAGTAACGGGAAAAAACTTTTCGACGGTTATAAATGAAAAATCACGATTTAGCGGTTATTCTAACTCCGATTTTGATGATTTTTTACAGCTACACTCCTTGACCCTATATGAATACAATGACTGAATTTGATCTTCAATTTAAAATATTTACACTAGTGGATACCACAAAATCTTATGTTACATTTAACAAAAGTATAAATAAACTCTTAATTGTTAGTGAATATATTGTTTTGATGGCATACACATTCTACGAAACTAATCTAATTCCTTACTTTCTCCATTACTGATACGTAAACATGCCCTGAATACCAAAAGTCATATCTTAACACGCAATAATTTCCACCCAACACAACTACTCGAACTTTATAAATCAAAGAGAGAATTGATAGACTTATCTGACTTCGAGGTCTTGTAAAACATCGTTAGAAAATAAAACACCTAAAAATCCACATGAAGTTTTCCAAAAGCCTTTAAAGCCATAAACATTTAAACAGCTACAAAAGCTAAACGTAATAACAAGGGATGGAGATACGGACCTCAAGAAACTCAAGAAGTGAAGAAGATATAAGGGGGATCTCTACGGCCACCGACTTGAGTCTGAAGAGCGAGATAACAAAACCTCACAGGCAGCTTTGATTATAGCAAGTCTTGCTCGATTTTGGGCAAAATAGAAGCAGACAGAACATTTTGACCAAAATAGAGACAGAGGAGATGAAGGTGTTGGGCTGGATGATGGGGATTTGGAGTCGGTGTTGGTAGGGGACGATGGAGTTCTAGCAGAGGCAAAGGAGTAGAGTGAGACTCAGTTAGAACTTGCCGCTTGTACTTTGGTCTGCTGAGTTTGAGTTGTTTCCCTGTTCCCACCTCTTTCTTTCTTATTTTATTGACATGTGTCCTCACTTAATATGCCACAAAACACTGTCAACTTTGAATCAAATTATTTATAAATAAAAAAACTCAAAATTGAAGTAAAAGATCAAACGCAGCAGCCACTCCTCGGACCTCAACCGCCACCCACCACAACCACCCCACCCTAGTGGCGACAATCCCTTTTTATTTTTATAGATGCAATCATGGAGGCGTTACTCTTGAGACAAACAACAAGCCTAAACAGGACAGACTAGCCGAGTTCTAATCACCTTTGAGACATCATCAGCCAATATAGAGGTCACCCAAACAGGAGGAGTCGCAAAGGCATAAAATCCTAGGTCCACATTGTAGCTCCAAGAGCCAAGACAATCAGCCACACAGTTATTTTCTCTATAAATATGTTGCACCGTACAATTGTCAATATTCTTCATGGAGGCGTTGTTTAGACCTGGCAATATCATACGAAACACGATAACACGACACGAATTCGCAAAAAAATTTCAGTATTCATGTTCGTGTTATCGTGTCGTGTTGCTATCGTGTCAACCCGTTAGCCACACGATAAGCTAACGGGTCGTTTCAGTGTCCATTCGCGAAAAACACTAACCAACCCGTTAACAGGGGTAGTTTTGTAATTGTCTATTCTAAAATCCTTACCAACCCTAGCAATAGCATTCTGCTGCATTCATAATCATCTATCATTCCGCCGCACACTCACAGTAGTTCACTTTCTCTCTCTCTCTCAAAACCTCATCTTCTTCTTCTTCCTGCGATCTCTCTCAAACTTTCTCTCTGTCAATCATCATTTCTCTTCTGAGACTGAAATACTCTCTCAAGTCAAGACCTTGAAAACCAATTGGGAGAGGAAAGGAAGACAAGACTGAAACAAGAGACTACAGCTTTTGCAGCTTGATCGGTTCATAATTGTATATCATTTTGTACCCTTCTAGCTTATGATTTGGTTATGTTTTTGAGTTAAACTTGTGCTTTTAATCCTTTTTGTGTTTATCTTCATCATTTCGGAAACAAGCAGCCCAGAAGACTACTGTAGAGAAGAAGCCACCGTTGGCTCCTTCGAAATCGAGGCTACCTCTGCGAAGAATTACCAACTTCATGCCCCCAGCTTTACCACCCAAAAAGCCCAGCTATACAACTTCTGTTGTCCCATCTTCAATGGATGGCAAAGAAAACATTTCCACAACATTGGCAGGAAGAAACCAATGGCTGTCAGACCTCCAACTACAACCTCGCAGATTATTTTGCTGTAAATGTTTAATACATTTTAAGCTTTTTTGGGAATTTTTTTTCTGCATCTATATTGTATTGTCAGTAATTGATATTTTTTTTTTGAAGATTTTAAAATATATTTTAGAAAAATTGTTTATTTTGGGAATAGCCAGGCCATGAAGAATATTTGTGGGACATGCGAAGTACAACTTCCTTCAATTTTCAATCCTCACTCACACATCAGAAAACAAAAGTTTTCTTTTACTTAAAGAATTGGATATCCCTCCACCCCGGGAATGTCGAGGCAGAGGACGTGGTGAGGGTCTGGATCTGGTGTGGTGGTGCAGAGAGAGAGAGAGAGAGAGAGAGAGAGAGAGAGAGAGAGAGAGAAAGGGGAAANNNGGGGGGGGGGAAGAGGGCTTGTTTGTTGAAATGAAGGGACCATAAAAGATGAAGGCATATATGTGGATTTGGATATGTTGCCATCGCTGCCTGGGGGTGGCAGTGGATGTGGATTTGGATTTGTTGAAATTATTCCATGCTTGTTTAATTGTTTTTATTGTCTTTTATGATATGAATTACTTTACAAATATATAATTTAATTTATTTCGTCATATTAGAAATATATAGTGAAAGTTGTGTTATGCATTAAGGCATCTCGTAGGAGTCCAATTTTGATCAAATGAATGGTTGATTTAGATTCTTAAAATACTAGTATTCCAATTGTTGTGATCAAATGAATGGTTGATTTAGACAATTAACCCTAATTACTATCCATGTTGACAGTTGGTTTCTCTTAATTAATTCGATATCCCCTCTCGAGCTCAAGCAAAAGTATTCTTAATTAACAACCTATTATTTATCGAGCAATGGATTTAGAAAATCAAGAAACCATTAAGTTATATGAGAACCTGCAAGAAAACTGCATGAGTCATGTTAGTCCCTCTCAGACATTCATTCAAGACATGGTATTTGTTAGAAGAAGCAAACACCATCACAGGACCCGCCCCGAATTCCTTGAAACCCGAGACAAATCCTGTGGGAATTTTTCGACATCACACCGATGCCGGGCCCACATACTAAGAACCGAGACTTTCTACCGAAATTTCGGCAGAGTCTCCCCTAAAATTTGGCTTTCCCCAAAATTTCAACATGCAAACAAAACACAGTTTAAAACACCAACTGGTAGCATGCACAAGTTAACATCATGCAATCACATAATAGGCCTCCGGCCTTCAGATAATTCGAAACAGAACCAACAATCACATCGAAAACCACATCTGAATCCAATCACACACACAGAATCGATCAAACCTTTTAAACACAATAATATTTCGCGGCTGCACCTGGTGAGACCCCATGCTGCCTACGTACCCTTGGACAAGGGATCAAGCCACACGTAGTTCTCATCAACAAACCACAACTATTTAAAGCAGAATCAACGATACACTTCCGATTTATCACCACTCCAAACCTGACAAAACATCATGAACATATCATCAATTTCTTCCCTTTATATCAATTCAATCCCGCAACCATACCATATCCACGGCGTATGTTGCCGTACAACACTTCCCAATCTAGGGCTCAAGCATTCATACATGTACAAGCTCATAAATCTCAAACTAGAATCAAAACCACATATACATATGTGTAATATAATAACACCCACCGCTCACCATCATCATGTACCAGGGGAAACAATCCAACAGGGGATTGTGGACTAGCTCACACTTATCCGGCCTCAAACGTCCATGTGGCTAGGGATGAGTCGTCCAACTGGGGGACTGACACTCTAACCCAGCACGTACGGACGAAGAATCAAGACTCGTACGCCTAGAACCGTCCTACGCGCGCAGACTACCCAATCAAGGGTCTACAGCGACATCCCGTCAAGGATGCCCCGGGTTCCGTCATATTCATACCATATCAAATCCATATCCATTTCCATGTATCCCAGTGTCCATAACCACTGTTTCCAAGTATCATCATCCAAGGGGGGAGGTACGTATGATGGTGGAGTTCGTAATCCTTATATAAATATTATAAAGTAATATTCCCTTCCTTAATCCAATTTTTCCCAAGGTATCGTATTAAGAAGACATCCGAAGGGCCTGGACAAACTCCGACGGGCCTGGGCAAAATAAATCTCCAAAGGACCTGGGCAAACTCCGACGGGCCTGGGCAAAATAAATCGCCAAAATAAATCTCCGAAGGGCCTAGACAAACTCCGACGGGCCTGGGCAAAATAAATCTCCAAAATAAATCTCTGAAGGGCCTGGACAAACTCTGATGGGCCTGGGCAAAATAAACTCTCAAACATAAAACCCATAACCGGGGAGGTACCTAAGATAGTGCTAACAACACTCAAATTAACATTCTAAGTACCCCATACAAAATCAACAAGGATAGTACTTTCTCAAATATTATATATAAACTCAAGACACTCGAATATATCAAACCCACAAATATTGCAACTACTTTACAAAAATAAAGAATTCAACGATTAAATATAAACCGAATTTAAATAAACTATTAAATTCAAGAGCATAAGATTTCCATCACAAAACCATAAAAATAATCTCATAGACCCACATAAATCAAATGACGGTCAAGACTCGTCCAAAAGGGTCGTTCTAGTACTCCTTGAAGAGTTAAACTACCTCGGAAGACTCATAGTCAACCGAAGGTCAAACTGCCCAAACTTGGTCAACCAGGCCGACGAGGCCCACGACCTGCGTTTTACGATCCAAACGTTCCTATGGATTCCACAAGGTTTAGGAAACATGTCCTACAAATTTGGTTCAGATTGGACGGTCGGATCGCTCACGATCGCACGATCGGACGGTTATCGTAAAACACAAACTTTAAGTTATTGAATCGGAACATCCGGGACTCCGATTCACGTTCCATGAAATCCTAAACGATCCTAGGAATTCCTAAATCAACATATATTAATTTGAAAGCGATCCAATGGTTCTAACATATCGAACCCGGAATTCACACAATATGTAAAATCCGTTTGGGGTTCAAACGTTATCCGAACTGAGATCCGTAAAATCCTACACGCTCGTGACAACCAGAGAATTGTATTGGGACAAAATTCCCCTCTGTTATTGTGCCCACGCGTCGTCACACGCGCTGGCAGCTCGTGGGTGCCCAAAGCGATATCGCATCGCCGGAAAATCTCAAAATCTCGGGCCAAGACTCCTAACCTAGGTAATACACCTAATTTGGAGTCACTTTTGTTCTTGGACATACCCCAAAAAGTCGACGGAAGTGGCCGGAATCGCAATCCCAACACCGGCAGAATTTCAATTCGAAAATCGACTTGCCTACGCTAAAAGTTGAAGCAATTCTACCCAACCAGCAGCTAGATCAGGAACAATAGGTGGAAATCCATACCTTACACGTCCAATTTGGTGGAGAAATGAGGGAGAACGAGCAGCTGGAAGTTATGTCAAAAACCAGCGCGTTTTTGGCAGTTTTCCAGCGAGATTCCAGCGTCTCCAAGGGTAGGGCTGGCCGGGAAGGGAAGAGGGAGTGGCGGGGGTGCGATCTGGTCTGGTCCCGTGGCCAGTGGCTGTCAGAGATGGCAGCTGTGAGGGTGAGTGGCGGCTGGAAAATTCTGAAGGGGAGGGGGGTCGCACGAGAGAGAGAGAGAGAGAGAGAGAGAGAGGGTTTTCTGTTTTTAATAAAAATAAACTTCGAAATAATTACGATTGTGCCACTGAGAGTTTTTAGATCGTATCTCTCTCGTAACAACTCCGATTTAAACCTACCGCA